CCAAAACCCCAAAACCCCAAAACCCCAAAACCCCAAAACCCCAAAACCCCTAAAAGCAGAAATAATTGAAATAAGCAGTTTTAACAATAATTTTTATAAATTCAAATATGAAATCCATTCACAACTCGATAAATGAGGCTTTGCAAAATTAATACAATTACAATGATTCTTCTTAGGGTAAAATACTCCTCTTATTTTGATAATTAATACTTAGACTCATTCTTTGATGATGCCAAGAATGGTCTACTTAAAGATTTAGTAGACTTTTAAAACAGAGATGATTTTGACTCCTACATGAAATCACTAGAGAAGAATTACTATAATAAGTTGAATTTAGTTTAACCACCTTATGAAGTATTGCCAGATTACCCCCCAAAACCTTACTAATCACAAAAAAGTAACATTGATTTATTTTTATTGATAAAATTAAATAGAGAAGAAGAATCAATAAGAGACAAAAGACTTCATTGATAAGGTCAATGAGATTAATTAAAAAAGATAGTAAGCGTTTTCATACTAAGCTTTTCAAAAACAACAACCCACCCCTCAATAACAATTCTATTAGCCTCCTCAAAATAACTCTTTAAGTCATCTAGTCAATCCTTACTTTGATCAAATTGTAAACAAAGAAAATTCTATGGTTTAAAATCCATACCCTGGGCCATAATTTACACCCTAGGCTTAATATCAAGCACATCCACCAACCTTAACAAACCATAATATGTCATATCATGGAGGACTGCCCTAAAATAATCAAGTGAATAACGTGCTTGGTTAATATATGGAACCACTAGCTCTTTAATAGTAATAACCTCCATACCTTCAAAGATTTGTTGCTGGTCCATTAAGGTTAGAATCTAATCCACTAAGTGAGCCTTTAAGAAATTTTAAAACTCAAAGTCCTCAGAGACTTTAAACTAATACTCCTCAAGATTTCGATTTAAAGAATCCAGATGTTCAGTATGAACGCTATAAATCACTCATGCAAAATCAATATTATAATACCAATGTGAATTCAGGGAGAACTGGTTTTAACATCACGGGAGCTCATACTGTTTATCATCCACCACCACCTTTCAATAATACAAATCCATAATAGTAGATGCAGTAAAATGATCCTAATATTGCAACATTTAATCCAAACGCCATCTAAAATCAAAATATGCAAGCTTCGTAAAATCAATTACCACCACATATAATTGGAAATATGTATCCACAAACTTAGCAAATATATCATCAACCAGTCTCACTTTATCAGCAATAACCAGGTCAAATGCACTAGCAAATGCAAGGCTAAGGAATACCACCAGGACTCCCTCCACTCCCAGGCTACCCTGACTTTTATAGAGGGTTAACATTGAATAATTAGGTCAGCAATAATATTATTGATAGTATTGGTGGAATAGAAAACACTTTAAAACCACTAGAAGATACTTTAAGATAACATGAATTAAGACCATTTTAGATTTAAAGAGATTATAAGAAGGAATACTAGTACAGTCAAAGAGGTAAGAGTCTGAAGAGATCTTTATCTGAACATGGAGAAATTAAGCCTGAGACTCTTCATCTTGTTTCAGTTTCACCCTTTAGAGCTGTAGTGAAGATAGATAAGAGTAAAGAAGTTTAAAACTAAGGCTATCTAAATAGAAATCATGAGGATGAGTAATCTAGCAGTGATGAGGAAGAAGCTCAAGTTTAATAAAATTCTTTCAACAATAACTTTCAAAGATAAGAGTAGAGATCACAACTGATAAGGGCAGATTCTCAAACTTTAAGAGGGCAAAGAGAGGATTTCTTAGGAAGCTTTGTAGATAAAAGATCGCATAATAACTCAATATACGAAACAGGTGTTGCTGAGAGAAGCTTCCAAAATCAAAACAATGCCAATAATTACAACAACTAGTAGTTGGGATTATAATAAACAAGAGATAGCAGCTAGCAAAGAATAAAAACTCATTCAGAGTATCTCAGGGGATAAAGAGAACAATTCTTGAACGGTTTTTCACTCCCACCTAATGGCATTAAGTGAATATTTTGATTTAATTTCTAAGTTATATAATTATTAGAAATCTATAGAATATTGTTTAAATTTAAGTTTTAATTAAGTATGTTTGTCAATCCCTAATGATTTATTCCAAAAATATTATTGACAAATCATTATCATTTCCCAAAATCCTTAAGAGTACTTGCTACTAAACTCATGTTCGTTACAAATGAAGTAATGGCTGTTCTCAGACTAGCTGCTTCATCTTCTTCGGAGGTAAATAATATGTCAACATAAACTGGCATGTTTAGATTTTAGTCATCAATGTGTCTTATGCTCATCTATCTCTCAATAGTAGTCTTTTTTGATTTAGTGTCTGTAAAAGCAGGATCTACTTCAATACTTCCAATAGCAACTTTTGCATATTCAAAAGAAGGGAATGGTACTGTCATCTCACTATAATTCAAAGAATTAGCTTCTTAATTAAGCAATAAATGTCTCTTTATTACACTCTAATCGCCATTTTTTTATTTTAACAAAAATATAAGTATGTTTAAGGAAATTAAAATATGAGATTATATGATCAAACTAAATTATTAACGATAATATCTTCACAATTGAAGATATTCTAAAATAAAGTAAATTCCTATCTATTTTCTACTGCTAATCATTCTTTCTACTCTACCTTTGTTTAGATCTCTTGCTGTTTTGTTTCAGTCCAAAGATATTTGCAAATTTTTGCTGTAAATCCTCTAAGAGTAAATGAGTTTTTACCTTCATTGAAGCACATTCCAAGCATTCCCATAGCTATAGCGAATAGAAGAACCTATAGAACAGATTAGTAAATGAAGATTTTAAATTGATGATGTCTCATGTCATGAAATAATTATGACAATAAATATTCATATATCTATCAATTTTCTTACCTCTTAATATTTGAAGTATGAGTCAAGTTTTCTTCTTGCCATGAAATTTTGGATGCCCTCAAGATTTCTTGGAAGCACATAATAAATAATTTCTACTCTTTTGTGTGGTTATTCGAATGCTATTCCTAATCCAGACAACATACTTGACAGCAAATGGATGTATTCTATTAAACGAGGCTATTAGATAATATTAGGAATATTACTTATGGGAAGGCTTGGCAATAATCTACTTCCGTAGCATTAAATTATAAAAATCGATACTACAAAGGATGTCAAAAACATAACAGATCGGACAATGTTCACTGCTAACTTTCCAAGAGTTTAGACTGGTCTAAGATATTCAAGAATAGTATATTTACTTTTATTTGAGTGTCTTGAGCTTGAATAATATCAGTGGGATGATGTGAATCGGCAAGTTGATCTTTAGTAATGCCATAAAGATGATTCTAAATTTTTCAAGCAATCTGGCATTACAGGTAGTCCCAATATGATAACACTGGCAACTATGCTTTGCCTTGTCTAGCATAAAATCTACAAGCTATGTAGCTGCTTAGTTCTCTGTAATTGTAGCAGCAACTTTAGAAGTTAATAGCTTCGAAAAACTCATTATCGTACTATTGTAGTGTCAAGTTGATTTAGTAATATATAATATTGATTAATTAATCATCTTTATCTTTTATGATGTCATTATTCATCAGACAGGGGTTTTGGGGTTTTGGGGTTTTGGGG